TTACCTATATACGGTACGGTAGTACGGTAGTTGTCAACACAAACCAGACAAACTGTGAATCCTACAGTATCAAGAATCTACTCACTTATTCAATGACAATCATGTTATCATCTTCTGGAACATCATCATAACAATCCAATTCCTGAATTTCCTGGTGAATTTCTTGTGACTCCATTTCTTTCAGAATCAGTGAACCAAATCTCTCATGTTTAGCCTAGGGGGGATGCCTTATATTTCACTCAGAAGGAAACCTGTAAGTAGGTCTTATTTTCAGAGGATGTTTTCTTTTCGGGGAAACATGGTAGTTCTGCTTGCCATTTTTCCATTTCTGGTAAAGGAAGAAAAAAGCAATGATATTTCATACCTACATTTAAAGAAATATATACAGGTGTTTAAAAAACAGCCTTATTGAGGTATAATTTATATACTCTAAAATTTACTTATTTTAAGTGAGTAATTTAGTCCTGTATACAGAATTTTGAAACTATCACCATATTAGAATTTTAGAACATTTCCATTATTACAAGGAGATTTATCATGCTTATTTGCAGTAATCCCTCCCCGCTTTCTACCCCATCACATAGTACAGGTTCTTTTGCAAATTTATAGTTGAGTTTACAATTTGGAAAACATATTTTCATGGGTTGCTGTTTGCTTCTCTTCGTCATTCACAAGTGTACCTAATGCTTAACTTAGCTGACCCTAAACAACGAAAGGCTAGTCATTTTTGGGTAAAGAACAAAAGTGCCTGTGGTAACGAAACAGAAAGAGTGTCTTCCTGGTTTCATGCTTGATCCTGGACAATATTTTGATGCAGGTAGCTTTTCTTTCAGATCCTTTTATTGCTTTGGTGTGTACATCCTCTGGGTACCCTGTGATGCTGCCTTTTGAATTATCCTTTATATCCTAGTTGATTTTGCCCTCCTCCTCTCTTCTGTTCCCCGTGATCAAAATTCTCTATCTTTTGCTATTTCTTTCTCCAACAAATAAAACCAAACCAAATCAAGTCTAGTTTTACTACCTCTAACCTTATGTATTATGAGGAAAGAAATAAAGTGAATTTATGATAAGGAAAGGATTGGTAATTCTGGAGAGATGACAATGATTTGTATTTTTAAATCCTTATTAACCTCAACAACCTCCCCCTCTCCCCCAGAGTGCATGAATCTTTTTTAAGTATAAAGATGTCTATGATGTTAACACCTTCAGAAAATTTGACATGAAGTTTTGAAGCTTGCTATTAATACAACAAAATAGCATACATATCAAATCGCTTATATATCAACATTTGTGTAACTCCATCTATAAAAGTTTGCATTATTAACCGGTACACCTGATAATTGACTACCATGTTGAGCAGCTATTATCAGGGCAATTTTAGGTAAATTTATGAGACTACTTTTTTAGAGTGGATATAATACATTTGTAATTTCAGTTAGGCTTTAAAAAACCCACTTTTAGGGTTTCCTAAGATATAATAGCTATATTCCAAAGAAAGAGGCATTGACAAAATTACATTATTATATAATTTGGTAAAAAGTGATTAGGACTAAAATTTTCCATAATTGATAGCAATTTTTATCCTTTTAGCAACTAATGAAATGTTTTTTATAGCTTCAGTTGTTTAAAACTTAAAACTAACACCCTATCTAATAAAAGAGTAATATGTAAATTGACCATCACTCCATCACACAAGGTAGTCGCCCCCATATGGTCAAAGATGGCTGCCCCTAAGTGGACACAAGATAACCAGCAAGGGAGGGCTGTTGGGAGGGACCAAGCTTACAAGGGAGAGCAGTTGGAGGCTATCAGGCTAGCAGGGGAGGGTAGTTAGGGGTGACCAGGCCTAAAGGGGAAGACAGTTGGAGGGGAACCAGGTCTGCAGGGAAGGGCAGTTGGGAGAGGGGGAACCAGGTCTGCATGGGAGGATAGTTAGGGGAAATCAGGCAGGTAGGCAGAAGTGGTTAGGGGTAATCAGACAGGCAGGCAGGTGAGTGGTTGGAAGACAGCAATCCTAGATTGTGAGAGTGATGTCCGACTGCCCGCTTAGGCCAATTCCACAGAGCAGTTGGACATCCAACAAGCAGTTGGACATCCTTCAAGGGATCCCAGATTGGGAAGAGTGCAGGCCAGGTCAAGGGACACACTCCCCAGGCACGAATTTCGTGCACTGGGCCTCTAGTTTAATTATATTTAGCCTTTGCTCGAAAGCTATGTCCTATTTTTTTTGTTATTGTTAGCTTTATTGTTGTACATGTTCCTATACAGTTTTATCCCTGTATAACCTTTGGTTATTGTAAAAATGCACCACTGTATTGGGTGCTAAGCTTTTTACCTGCATTGATAGTCCTATGATAATATGTAAATAATGCTTTCTGCTTAATTTGACCAGTTGTTACATGAGAAAACTGTGCTCTGGAGAAAAGTCTCCATTTGTATTTTGCCCTGCTCCCCTAGCAGATATTCTGAGTGGGTTCATTCTATTTTATGAATAAAAATGAAGCTGCACTAGAAATGCCTTGAAAATATTTTGTTTTCCCATTCTTGACTCATTGCATTTTTGGGAATTGTTTCTGAGGAAAGTTAAGATACATTTGTTTTACAGATCAATATAAAACTTCTCTAGAAAAGAAAAAGTATTGTATTTTGATTTTCCAAATTTCTTAATATGACCCTAAGTTATATATAAGTTGTGCTTTAAAACATTCAACTTATTTTTCACACAAGTCTTATCTAAGTAATTGAGGGCAGCCAATCCTAACTCTCTTATAGGTGAAAACCTTGTTTCTCAGTGTGTTCCCAGCCCAGTGTAATTTATACAGCACAAAGGTGGCAGAATAGGTTGACAGCACACAGTCTTTTAGCCTTAAATTTATTTTGACACTATTAGCAATGAAACATTTAAATAGATCATATCCCAGATGTAAGTCACTTTTTAGGTGTCATTTCTAAATTTAAAAGTAGGATATTTTAGCAAAAATTGTATATACGTAATCTATTACCTTAGGAGTTTGGGAGAGTATATTTAGTTTTACTGCATTTTAATTATTAGTTGTTTTTTTTTTTTTTTTTTAAATATATTTTATTGATTTTTTACAAAGAGGAAGGGAGAGGAATAGAGAGAGTTAGAAACATCGATGAGAGAGAGTCATTGATCAGCTGCCTCTTGCACACCCCCTGCTGGGGATATGCCCGCAACCAAGGTACATGCCTTGACCGGAATTGAACCTGGGACCTTTCAGTCCGTAGACCGACGCTCTACCACTGAGCCAAACCGGTTTCGGCTTAATTATTAGTTTTAATCTCATTTTGTAGATTGACTTGCTGACCTTTATATAAAATGTATGTGCTTAAAACAGGAGCATAAATTTTTTAAAAGCTTGATTTTCTAAAAGTTATATCTTTTAATGTATATGTTTTTATAGTCAAAATAGAGGCCCAATGCACAAAATTTGTGCAAGGGGCTCGGCTCTTGCAGCCCCCTCTGCTTCGGTTGGCTCTTGCAGCCCTGGCTTCATCCAGAAGGTTGTCCGATGGTTGTTCTGCTATTTGGTCTATTTAGCATATTAGCGCTCTATTATATAGGCTGACTCACATAAATCTGTTAGTATAAGCCTCTGACTATTTGACACAATTTCCAGATATTTTTATTTTTTCATTTTATACAGGGAATATGTAACAATAGACATAAGAACATTTAAACTTATTAAGAAAAAACATTCAAAGGTATGAAGAATAGTAAAGCTTGTATTCTTATATTTTTATGTGAGTTTTTCTGCTGTGTTTTCCAGAATTTTTTTTTTTTTTTATCATGATCCAAAGAATTAACATTTTATAGCATCCCTTACTTCATCTGTTAGGTTTTTAAATCTCAGAGTTATTTGAAGATTCATCTTTTATAAGGCTTCTGGGGTCAGTCCTTGTTTCTCATACTTACCAACACTTAATACTAGTAGATTAAAAAAAATTCTAAAATGTTGAATACAAAATGGGGATTGTGACAGTTTTAAAGGGCATTTTTCCTAATTACTAATGAGGTTGTGTGTATTTTTATATGTTAACTAGAGGCCCAGTGCATGAAAATTCATGCATTGGAGGTGGGTTCCCTCAGCCTGGCCTGCCCCCTTTCACAGTCCTGGAGCCCTTACGGGTGGAGGCGACCTGGCAATCAGGGGAAGGCAATGCCTCATCACATCTCTGCTGCTGCCACTGTAGACAGTGCAAGCCTTGGCTGGCCTTGGTTACCTGGGCAGCTGGGCAACCGCCATCTGAGGCTTGCCTGCACCTAGGGTTGGCCCTGTGTGGCTTGGGTGCTGAGGGGACTGGGAGACTCCAGAGGCAGGTGCGCAGAGCTGGGCCTGGCCTTGCTGCACGCCTGCCACCTCGACGGGGCTGAGGGGACTGGGCAGTGCCATCTTGTGGCTGTGGGAGTCATTTAGCATAGTCCTTCTTTATTGGCTGTGGGCACTGCCAGCTTTACGATGGCGTGAGGGTCAATTAGCATATTCTCTTATAGGTAGGATTAGCCATATATTCTGTAAATTACACATTCATATTTTTCTGTCCATTTTTTAAAAATTATTTTGGTTGTTTCTTACTAATTTTTAAGGTTTGTTTTTTAAAATCTCTGATTTTGATTTGTTAGTAATCTTTTAAGTGAAGAACTTTTTACTGTGGGATGTTAATACTCCTGGGTTCAAATATGTAGAATGAAAAAACTGTTCACATGAGTTGATTAGATTTTGGGGAAAGTTTCTAGTAAAACAAAATTAGTAAACTCATTAAGGTTCTTGAAGGTTGATTTATAACCTTCAAATATAGCCAAGACACATGTCTTCTTATGAATCTGCTGTTGGTGCCATTTGAAAATTTGAGGATGTAAATTCTGTAAGCCTTCATTATAATTGCATTAAAAAAACACAGAATGATATTTATGTGCTGTCATGATATTTATTTTAGTTTTTAATATGTGCTTTTCTTTGTTTCTCCTCTCTAATTAGGTCCCCGATGGGCTTCCTGGAATATTGGTGTGTTTATTTGCATCAGATGTGCTGGGATCCATAGAAATCTTGGGGTTCATATATCCAGGGTCAAGTCAGTCAACCTAGACCAATGGACACCGGAACAGATACAGGTAAACATTTTCTTACTGATAAATTCTTAAAAATAAAGTGAATTTAAAATCTTCATTCCTTCTTGCATTTAAGGAGTTATATTGAAATGGCTCTGGTCGTTGTGGCTCAATGGTAGTGTGTTGACTGCTCGCTGTAGGTCATGGGTTCGATTTCAGGTGAAGGGCACATACCTGGGTTGTAGGTCTGATATCCTCCCACTCCCAAGGCACATGTGGGAGGCAGCCAGTTGATCAATTGATGTCTCTCTCACACAGACTTTTTTTCTCTTCTTTCTCCCTCCCTCCCCCTCTTCCACTTTTTCTAAAAAATTTATTGAAAAAAATATCCTCATACCTTGGGAAAGGATTTTAAAAAATATATTGTAATGTAGTGGGTTGAAATAGCAAGTGTCACATTTAAAATATGTGTTATTTGAATTGTCATTATCAATTGTTTTTTCTTCTTAGAAAAGTCAGTTTTTATAATCTGTTTTTATCCAAAATGTTGATTTTGAAGTATTAAAAAAAAAAAAAAGAATTCATTTTCCTTGTGTTGATGAAATTTGCCCTCATAATTCCATAGTCTGTTTTGTTTTCCTGTCAGTAGAGGGAGCCTGTGTAAAGATAAAGAATAAACCATCTTTAGATGAAAACTAACAAGTATTTCCCTTCTGTAGAGAGGTGTTCTTGATTTTCAGACAGGGCCTAATAGTTAGTTAGAAGGCAGTCCATTTAGCAGATGTTCTAATTATTGACCTGGACTTATTTTGAATGGTTTAGTTTTGTTAGAGATAAGTTTGTAATTTTAAGGGTTTGCCATTTTTTCAGTATGACAGTCTTTTATTCTCAAAATCATAATTTTTAATCCTTAAGGTTGATTGCTGGTATAAAAACGATGATTTCTGCTGGTTTTATTTTATAATTCACAGTGAAATTATACTACTTGTTCTTATGCCCTTTTCAAATACTTTAAGTTAGTATGAAGGCTAAATTCACAAATATATGTAGTTGAACTTTAGTGATATACAATCCTCCCAATCAGAAAAACAAACAAAAACAACACAAAAATTGGCATGAATGGGGTGAAGTAAGAATAGGAGGAATAGAATACTCTAGGGAGTAGATTATTTTTAAAAAGATACGATAATTTGGTTAAAGAAAGTAAAACTTCTAAATTGAAGACATATTTATTACCAAAGTAGATCCTAGAGGTAGCAAAGAATTAAATATGGAAAAAAACTAATCTTTAAAAGTACCCAATGGGGGGGGGGGGGAAGGAGTAGAGATCATCAGGCTATAAAGGCAAGCATAATTTATTTAGTTCCATTTAAATAAAGTTTTGAGCTTTTTACTAGCTAGGGCATAAAAGAAAATATGATACTTTATGTGTTTTCAAGATTCATGATGAGAAAATTTACCTGTTACATCAAGGAAGCAGAGCTTTATGAACATTTCACATAAGTTAATGTTCTTTTCTTGTTATTCCTCACCTGAGGGTATTTTTCCATTGTTTCTTTTAAAGAGTAGAATGGGGGTGGGAGAGGGAGAGAGAGATTGATTGGTTGCTTCCCACACATGCCCCCACTGGGCCAGGCCTCGAACCTGCAACCCAGGTACCAGGGTTCCAACCTGTGACTCTTTGGTGCTCAGGCTGATGTTCTAACCATTAAGTAACACTGGCCAGGATGAGTTAATCTTCTTATTAATATTTCTGTAGTGATTGTAATAACAGATTTCATTATATTGTTTCTTAAAGTTGTCCTCAAGAAAATGTGAGGTGTAGCTTGAAAATGTAACTTGGTGGTTGTAATGACTTAGGGAGGTAAAAAGCATTCAAAACCCGCAGTGAATTTATTGTATTTTTTTTTTCTATTTTTATTCATCACTTTATGTTGTTCATTATATTTCACAAATGAGTGAGATCATATGATATTTATGTTTCTCTATCGGGATTATTTTGCTTAGCATGATACTTTTAAAGTCTATTTTGTCAGATGTGAGTATTGCTACTCCAGCTTTTTTTTCTTTTACATTTCCATGAAAAAAAATTTTTCCATCCCTTCACTTTCATCCTGCTTGTGTTTTTGTTTTGAAGTGGGTCTCTTGAAGACAACATAGAGTTGGGTCATGTTTTTTTTCTATTTATTGTATTTTTAATGGTTTATTCCAAACCAAGGATAAAACATAAAATCCCTGGACAATTCAGTTCTCCAGAAATATTACTTTTCTCAACTAGGCTGTTGAAAGGAGTTGAGTAGCTGTTCTTTTCCTATAGCTTAGAGCAGAACTTCCAAATCATAGGGCTATAGTTTACTGGTTTTCTGTGGAATAGGTTACAGGTATACCACAAAATACTACTGTATTAAATATGTAGGGATTTTGAAAACAATTATATAGTAATATATAATCTTTGAAATTGTATTTGAACACTAGTCATATGGTTCCAACTGTCAACTTTCTGAAATAATTATTATTTTCGAATGTAAGATTTTGGTTAGTACTTGTTACCAGAAAATGCTCTGCATGGTTCCATATATCACAGAGCTCCTCTTCAAGGTGTTCTCTGATAAGAAATGTGGTTAGGATGAACTTATTTTTAAAAAATCACATTAGTAGACAATAAAGTTTTACTTAAAAAAGGAAAATGAAAACAATAGAGAAGTCTAATCATACAGATAGGTGTACCATCCAGTATTTTTAGTAAGTAAAGCCAAGTTGTTTAAAAATTATTCTGGAACTTCTGTGCAGTATAAATGAGGTAAGTGTTGAAGACCATAGAACACAACCTTTATTTTAGCCTAGAAAATCTCAAGGCAACTGATTCTAGTGAATCTTTTGTGATGAATTGGTTACTAAATGTAGTACTCTGTAAATAAGTAGATTCATTGTGTGATATTATTGCGTGTAAATGAATTTTTGAGAATATTTGTGAAAAATAATTTATTTTCAGTAGTATTGGATGTGAAGACATTTTGAGATGAATAGTTAGGTAATCATATCAGTTGTCTATTGAGGTTGCTTCTTATTTAGATTTAAGCATATTGTATTTCCTGTGGTGGAGAAAATATTCCATAAATTCCAACTCTATACTGTGGCATATTATTTATTTAAAAAAATTGAGGTGTAGTAATAGAACAATTTACAGATATAAGTGAGTTTTATGTTTTTGACAAATGTCAATACTGTGTCACCTACAGCACACTGAAGATATACAGATCATGTCCATCATCCTAGAAAGTTCCTTTGTGCCAGTTTCTAGTCAACTCCCTCAGGTGCAACCACTACACTAATTTCTGTGCTCTTAGGTTGCTGTGTATTGAAATTTTTATTTTTTGGAGTTGGTTTTTATTAACTCTTATTCTTAATTCACATTAGGGGAAGTAAACATTACATGTGATTTAGTGTTCCTTATTCCTATGATATTTTATAAGAATACTAGAGGCCCAGGGCATGAAATTCGTGCATGGGGGGGATGTCCCTCATCCCAGCCTGCACCCTCTCCAATCTGGGACTCCTTGAGGGATGTCCAACTACCCATAGGATTGGGCCTAAATGGGCAGTCACAACCTAGGATTGCTGGCTCCCAACTGCTCACTTGCCTGCCTGCCTGATTGCCCCTAATCACTCTCCTGCCAGCCCGATGGCCCCTAACTGCCTTCTCCTGCCAACCTGGTTGCCCCCAACTGCTCTCCCCTGCAGGCCTGCTCCCCTACAACTGTCCTCCCCTGCAGGCCTGGTTGCCCCCAACTGCCCTCCATTACAAGCCCAGTCACCCCTAACTGCCCTTCCCTGCAGGCCTGATCACCCCCAACTGCCCTCCCTTGCAGGTCTGGTACCTCCCAACTATCCTTCCCTGCTGGCCTGACCGCCCACAACTGTCCTTCCTTGCTGGCCATCTTGTGGTGGCCATCTTGTGTCCACATTGGGGGCAGCCATCTTTGACCACCTGGGGGCAACCATCTTTTGTGTTGGAGTGATGATCAATTTGCATATTACTCTTTTATTAGATAGGATCCTTGAGCCCTAACTGGTTTGGCTCAGTGGTTAGAGCTTTGGGCTATGGACTCAAGGGTCCTGGGTTTGATTCTGGTCAAAGGCATGTACCTTGGTTATGGGCACATCCCCAGTGGGGGGTTTGCAGGAGGTAGCTGATTGATGTTTCTCTCTTATCGATGTTTCTAACTCTTAACTCTCCCTTCCTCTCTGTAAAATCAATAAAATATTAAAAAAGAAGAATATCCTTGACATGAAAAGTGCTTGGGCAGTATTTATTTATAGAAGAGAAATACTTTTACTGCATATAGTTCGCCCGTATGTCTTCCCCTCCCACTACCCCAACATTTCATGAAAATAATGCTTCTAATTTTCAAAGATGATACTTAATTTTGGTTAGTTGTTTTCTTTAGATCTTTTGTTAATTAATGTAGAAATGTGATTTAATCTCTGAGCTCAGTTGAGCTATTAAATAAAAATGTTATTTTTCATGTGACTGTAAAATGTAACTACTTAAGTTTTGCCTCAAGGTTTCTTATCAGCTGATATTATATGTATAACATACTCATGTAGATGTTATTTATGTGAAAATAAGTTTTTAAGGCTTGTACTGTATCATAGCTGTGTTAGGATTACTATATGCTTATTTTTAAAAGAAAATAAGTTATCCACCAAAACTTTTTTTAATTCACATTTAAATGCAGTTATTCACCTTAAATTTTATTTTTTTAAATTTATTTTTAAAAGATAGATTTTATTGATTTTTTACAGAGAGGAAGGGAGAGAGAGAGAGAGCTAGAAACGTCGATAAGAGAGAAACATCGACCAGCTGCCTCCTGCACACCCCCCACCGGGGATGTGCCCGCAACCAACATACGTGCCCTTGACTGGAATCGAACCTGGGATCTTTCAGTCTGTAGACCAACGCTCTACAACTGAGCCAAACCGGCTTCGGCTCACCTTAAATTTTAATAAAAAATTTTTAATGTGGTTCATGATCAGATTAAATGTCTTTATTGAATTTATTA